AGCAGGAAAAGAGGGGAAATTCTCCATGGAATTCCGCATTCCCAGCACGGGAATCATTCCCGGCGGGACCGCGGGGGGAATTTGGGTCCAAAATCTTCATTTCTGGGCAATTTCTCCTTAAAGAAAAATCCCCCAAACCTTCCCATGCCGGGAGCTTTTCCTTGAGGAAAAATCCCTTTGGAATTCCCGGAGAGCCCCGAGAGGGGCTGGAAATTCCCGGGAATTCTCGGGGTGGGATCTGGGGAGGAATCGCTTAAAAAAGGGAAAATTTTTAATGGGGGAAAAAGGGATTTTAGCGGGAAAACCTTGGGATGTTCCTGGGATGTTCCTGTCCCCAAGGGTGGCTCCTCTTCCCAAACTCGTCCCTTAACACCAAAAATCCCAAAAATCCCAAAAATCCCAAAAATCCCCGCCCGGATCCCAAAATCCCCGCCCGGATCCCAAAATCCCCACTCGGATCCCGCTTTTCCCCCTTTTTTCCCCTTTCCCGCCACATCCTCAGGGAGGAAAATCCCGTAAAAAACGCCGGGAACTTTCCTTTTCCCACTTTTTTTGGGGCGGGAAAAGCTCCCCGCTCACGCGCGGGACACCGGACCTGGACAAAATCCCTTTTATTTGGACAAAAATGGAGCAAAATTCGCTTTTTTTCCAGCCTTTTCCCCCCGAAGGAGGAGCTGGAAATTCCCGGTGACGCTCCCGGAGATTCAGGGAATGCTGGAAAAATTCCAATCCCATTTTTTCCACAAAAAAATTCCGTCTCAGCCCGGAGAAAAAGGGAATTTTATCGGGAATTTCGGCATTTCGGACAAGCTCTAATTATTGATTTATCATCGGTGATTAATTAATGATAAAATCCCACGCCAGAGGTGGAGGCAGAGCCCCCCCGGACGGCTCCAGTTTGGGAGAAAACTCCGATTTCAGCCTCTCTGCCGAGCCGGGATCATTCCCAGGGATTTTATTCCATAAAAATTCCAGCCCAGAGAATTTGGGAATGTTTTCCTTGGATTTAAAGTGGGTTTTTTTTTTGGGGGGGGGATAAACGTCGAGGTTTTGGGGTTATTTTAAATTCTTTATTTTCTTGCTAATGCCTAAAACTTCCCAGGTTTTCCATGGAAAATTCCGACTCTCCGGGAAAGGATTCCCTGGAAATCGAGGGTGTGCTGCCCCTTCTTCATTTTTTATTTATTTCATATTTAAAAAACACCCAACAAATCGGGAAATTCGGGATCATTTCCCTTCACCCTCCGCCCTGGAAATTCGAATTTTCGGCGTTTTTCCCCAAAAAACGGGAAGGAATTGGGAAAATTCCCCCCAAGGGCTGAAACCTTCGGGCATCGAGGGGAGGAAAATGGGAATTTTTTAGGGAGAAACCTCCTGGAATATTCCGGTCTCTCGGATCCGATTTTTTTGGGGGGAAAAAATGGAATTTTCGGCCGCTGGTCTGGAATCAATCCCTGCCCAAAACGGGAGGAGGAGGAGGAGGAGAAAACATTCCCGGGGTGGATCCATCCCAAAAATCCCCAGGAGGGAACGAATTCCCCTTCAGGAACTGATAATAAATCCCAAATTGAAATAAGGAATAAACCCCAATGAAATAAGGAATAAATCCCATTGAAACAGGGAATAAATCCCAAATTTAAATAAGGAATAAATCCCATTGAAACAGGGAATAAATCCCAAATTTAAGTAAGGAATAAACCAAATTGAACTAAGGAATAAATCCCAGCTAAAATAAGGAATAAACCCCAATTGGAATGTGGAATAAATCCCATTGAAATAAGGAATAAACCCCAATGAAATAAGGAATAAACCCCAATGAAATAAGGAATAAATCCCATTTCAAGGGGAATAAAAACTCCAGCCCAGCCCGAGCCTCCCCCGCTGGAATTTCCCGGGAAAAGGAGAATTCCAAGGCCGAATTCCCGGTGCCGAAGTGACCAAACGGCCCCGGCTTGTTCCTGTTTTAACTTGGAATTGAACTTGGACTTCCCGGCGGGCCCCGGGATCGCCGCTGGAATTTTCTTTGTCTGGAATTCGGCTGAGCCGGGGAGAATCCCGGGGAATTCTGGCAATCAGGACAATAATAACAATAATTAACGAATAACAATAATAACAATAATTAACGCGGGAGCGGCCCCGAGCTGGGGCTGGGAACGGGGGAAAAAAGGGAATAAAAGGGAAAAAAGGGAAAAAAGGGAGTGGGAAGGGGGGGAAAAAAGGGAATAAAAAGGGAATGGAGAGGGGAAAAAAAGGGGAGAAAAAGGGAATGGAAAGGGAGAAAAGGGGAAAATAAAGGAATGAAAAGGGAAAATTAAAGGGGGAAAAAGGAATTAAAAGGGAAAAAAGGGAATCCAAGCAATTTTTTGCCTCCAAAAAGCGGCGCCGGTGGGAGAAGAGGAGGAAGAGGAAGAAGAAGAGGGAGAAGAGGCTGCGGGATTTGGGAAGAGCCGGGAAAGCTCCCAGAGCAGGTTTGGATTGACGGGAATTGATCCCGGATCAATCGGGAGAAATCGGGAACGGGAATTGGGGAGGTTCGGGAATTCCCCGGGGCTGATCCCACCCCGGGAAGTTCCCATGGATTTATCCCCAGAAAATCCGGGAATGACCTTCCCCGTGGATGGGTCCCTGGATGGAATTCCATGGATTCTCCAGAAAAAAATGAAGGGAAATCCAAGGAGGAAAAAAACCCCAAATTCTCCAAATTTAGGGATCAACCCCTCCCCGAGCCGGGCTGGGAATTCAAATCCAAAAAGTAGGAAAAAATCTGGGAAAAAGGGACTGGAGGGGGAGCTGGGGAAAGGTTCTGGGAATGGGACACGTCGGGAGGGGAAAAACATCAGGAAAAGGAATTGAGGGGAAAATTGGATTTTTAGTGGGGTTTTTTTGGGATGAGGCGCGTCCAGGGGAACAAAATGGGATTTAATCTTCTTTTCCCACGATTTTCCTGGAATGGCTGAGGCAAAACTGAGGCTCAGGCTTGGCCAGAGGAATTCATTCAGCTCGGACGAGGCGGAGTCGCTTTTTTATCCCTAAAAAAGACCAAAACCAGCCCGGAAAATTTGGGGAAAAAAAGGAGAAATTGGGGATTTTATTTATCCACATATTTGGGACAAAATCTGGGAAAACTCGGCTTGGATTCCTCAGGCAGGGAGCTGCGACTGGCTGGAAAATTTTCCCCTCAGGGAAAGGTTGGATCGAGGAGTTTTGGGGCTTTTCCCTCATTTTAGGACAAAAAATCAGGGGGAAAAGAGGGAAGCGAAGGGAAGAGGGATCCGCGCTCAGATTTCCAGGGAATGATCCGGGAATTATTTCCTTGAAATGGAAAATTCCGCTTTTCCTTTGTTCTCTCCCAGCCTTTCTCAATCTCCTTTTCCCTGAGGACACGAAGCCGCTTTCCCATAAAATTCCAGCCCCGATTCCTTTTCCCGGGACGGGATTTTTGGCCTGGAAAAGCCGCGCTTGGGTCGGAGCTCCCCGGGATTCGCCCCCGGCCGCGGTTTTGGGGCAGAATTCCCTTTTTTTTTGGCCACTTTCCCTGGAATCTCTCCCGGCTTTTCCCGAAGGGAATTGCTGGAAAACCGCAAATCTCCGCCCGCGGCCGCCTCCACCTGCGGAAAGCGGGCCCCGAGTTTTTATTGTTTTTAAAGGAAAAAACCGGGAATAAACGCCCGAAATAAAGGGGGAAAGAGGGGAAATTCCTGAAATCCCGACAGCTGAAACGCCGGAGGGAAAGCATTGGGAACGGAGCTGGAAAACAGCAGGATCAGTGGGAATTCTACCCCTGAGAACTTGGAGATAAATCTGATTTTCCTCTCCTTTCTCTCGCCAGGAACGGACAAGGAGGAAAATCAAAAATGGGAATTTTCCCCGGGATCTGCCTTCAGGAAAACGGGAAAAGGGAAGGAACCGGAGCCATCCTGGGGTTCTGGAGAGGAAAATTCCGTTTTTTCCTGCTCGGTTGTTGTGGGAGGAGAAATATCCATTAAAAAAACGCAACCAAAACCTTTTCCAGGAGGAATCTGCGCCCGGGATGAGGAAAAAAAGGGAATTTTCCCCGTGATTCCCCAAGTGAAAAAGAGCCACGCCGGGAATTTGACGCTTTATTCTTTTAATTCCATGAATCCGCAGCTTTTCTCCCGGAAACCCCCAAAATTCGGGAATATCGGACCTGGAAAAGCGCTGGCGGGGGGGTTTTGGGGAGGGGTGGAAGGAAAACCCCGGGATTTGCTCCCATTCCCAATTTTCCTCTCCCCGAGGGCTTCTGGGGTCTCCTTTTCCCAATTTATTTTTTGGGAACGCTCCCAGCCCTGGATCCCGGCCCCTCCCGCCCCCCTCGAGCCCCGAAATCTCCCAAAATTCCCGAAAATCCCATTTTTGGTGGAGAATTCCTCGTTTTTCGCCCCAAAGGTTCCTTTGTTCCTCTCCCCAGCCTCTCCCGGGAAATCCCGGCCCGAAATGAGATTTTTCCTCCTCAAAAAGGGATTTTCCCCCTCCTTTCCTTCCTTTTCCTCTTTCCCTCTCCTCTCCCCCATTTTTCCCTCTTTTCCTCTCCTTTATTTCCCTTCGGTTTTCTCCCATTTTTCCCATTTTTTCCCCCATTTTTCCCGTCTTTTCCCCCTCCCCCGAAGCCCAGCGGGCCCCAGACCCCCGAAATTCCCAACCCCGATTTCCCAGGATATTTCCCGGGAATGCGGAGCGCAGCCCCCCCGTCCCAAACCTCCCCAAATCGGCGATAATCGGAATTTCGGGGCCGTTTTTGGCCCCTCCTCGAGGCTGCCGGGCCCTTCCCGGCTTTTCCCGCTCTCTCCCAGCTTTTTCCCATAAATCTCGGGAATTTTAACGCTGGATCCCGGACGTGCTGCCCGATGTTCAGCACTTCATAAAAATTAAAGGCGCAAAAAAAAAAAAATAAAAAATATATAAAATAAAAAAAAGCCGCGGGGTTGGGGGAGGGTCGCGTTTGGATTTAATTTGGGAATTTTCTCCGTGTGCAGCTCGGGATGGGGACGGGAATTTTCCTGCCCGGCGCTCGGAGCACAAAGGAGGCGAATTCCCGGCTTTTGTCGGGAATTTTTGAAACCTTTTTGGTTGGGTTTTGTTCGGTTTTTATTCCGAGCTGGTTTTTATTCTCCTTATCCGCTCCTTTTATCCCGATCCTCCCATCCCAAGCCTTTGTTTCCCATTTCTTTCCGTTCTTTCCCCATTTCATTCCTTCCTCTGACATTTTCCCCCGTTTAATTCCATTTTTCCCATTTAATTCCATTTTTCCCATTTAATTCCATTTTTTCCCATTTAATTCCATTTCCCTCCCATTTCATCCCATTCTTTCCCATTATTCCCTTTTTTTTCCCCATTTCATCCCTCTCTTTTCCCATTTTATTCCTTTTTTTCTCCCGTCCCATTTTCCCCCATTTTCCCCCATTTTTTCCCATTTTCCCATCCCT